GTGAAGGACAATTTTGGTACCAAAGTGAAAAGTTGAGGGACCAAAATGATACTTAAACCTTACTTTTATAATTTAACCAGAGAATAGCTGCGACCACCACTAACCAAATAAAATATAAGTGGTTCCTTTAAATCACCTTTGATCTCTAGTGGAGGGTGAGAGAAATCATTGGCTACATAAGTTGAGCTAAAAGGATTATATTTCAAGTGATTGAATCAAACCTTTGTAAAATTATTGTGCAAGTTTTTTCTCTTTCTCTTTGCATTTTCATTTAGTGATTTAAAAATGGTGGAAAAAAAAATAATTGAAGAATCTAATTCACCTTTTTTGTAAAACCTAGCTTTCTCTCTCTCTATCTGCATTTTCTTTGAGTGATTTTGATGAGTTGAATTTATATAAATATTAATGTGAAATCTTTGTCTTGATCTGATTGACATTCGGATAAGTTTTATGAGATTTTATTTGATTTTACATAATTTTTATTTTTTGTGTGAGAAAGGATTTAATTGGAGGAAATCATAATTTTTAAGAACAAATTACAAAGATCAGAAACATGAGGATTAACTTGTGCAGAAGCTAGAAGCCAGGGACCAGGACTGTCATTTCACCATTAACGGAAATTGCTTAGAAGGCCAGAAACCCGTCCCGGTATGCGCTAAACAGAAGGTGTCGACACTTTGTTGAATGTGTTGACCCCTTACGTGATTTTCACAAAATCTATGTTTAATTTATTATTTTAGATGTGGATCTCACTTAAATTCTAATTAGGGTTTCTAAAATCTTATAAATACCCATTCAAATTCAAAATTGAAAGGGAGCTTTGGGAGGTTGGTGGCAACCCTTTTTTGGACATTCTTGAAAATCAAGATAGAGGATTTCATCAATAATAGAAAATCAAAGAGTTCAAGTTCCTTAAATTAGGTTTTATTTTTCCTTAGATTTTTTTACCTATTGTTTAATATTTGAATGTTCATAACTATAATTTCAGGTTTTATCGTTTTTATTATGAACTAATTTATTTTACTAGGGTTACGATGAAACCTAATCAATTCAATATAGATTTTGTAATTTTATGCTTTCAATTAAAGTTATTCATATGATAAATTTATATTATTGAACTTAATGCATCGAAAGTCTAATAATTTTTCAATTGATTTAGTGATTCATGCATGAACTTGAGGAATAATTATGTAAATTAGACTAATAATATAAACCGTGTGTTAGATTGTGAGACCGAGAGGTAATTAGTTCACATATGATAGTGGAGAAAGAGAAGAGAGTTAGGAGCTCCTCCTTTTTAAACTAGAGATTTTGATAAAATTTAATGTTCATTAGTTTGTTTAAAATTACATAGAGATATGATTAATTTAACAAATAACACTACAACCAGATGCACCTATACTGATGGAACTTTTTCGTCTGTATACACCCTTTTTTTGTCAGTATAGACCTCCCGGGTCTATTCCAACGGAAGTCCTTTCAGTTGATGCAAACCCCGTCAATATAGGATCTATTCCAATGGAAGACTTGTCCGTTGGTATAGACCCTGAGAAATTTTAAGAGATTTTGCCATGGGTATAGACCTGACCTGTA